CAGGAAAATTATTTAAAACTAAGCACAAGAGCTGTAATAATGATCCCTTCCAGAAAAATTTAGTTTATTTTCACTGGGAATAATTTATCTAAATAGATTACAAATCATCTTTACCAGGTTTCTGAAAATTCAGATGGTCTACAGGTGAACTGTCACTCAATTGCCAAATTGTTTTAACCTTTTTCTGACCGCTATTTATTTCCACTCTCCATTTCTGTGGCTTTTCTCTAAGACCAAGAGGGAAAAAAAAAAAAACATTAAAAGACAAAACAATGAACAGCTATTTCCTTTCTTTTACAGTCATTTAGTGAAGTCCTTATGGGATAAACACTGAAGAAAAATAGGTCATAACTCCCATTTTKAGTGCAATCAGGAGAGGAAAAGAAATAAGAATATAAATAACAATAATAGAGAAAAACTGGGTAAGAGGACAAGAGAAGCTCGGAATCTGACTCAGAATGGGGAATGCAGAGTTGAGGAAGAACTTCAGAGGTTACAGCATTTGAGCTGAGTATGAAATGATGAGTTAATTAAGCAGACAAAATCTAGGAGGAAGAAATGACACAGGCATAGGCACTGASGGGTGAGGGTGAGACATCTGAAGAAAGTCAATGATAGCATCTCTGACTCAAAAGGGAGGAGGGAGGATGTGGCATCACCTGGGCCAGAAAGGTGCAGGGGCCAGGCACAGGAGGCCTTGAAGACCACACTTAGGCACAGGAGCATTGTCCTAAAGGTAACAGGGAGTCATTTAAACAGAAAGATATCACAAAAGAGTGTGAATTTTAGAAGATAACTTTGGCAGCAACATTGAAACAGAARATTATGTTGATAGAGAGAAAGGTTAGGAAAGAGGATTTTACCAAAGTCCAGTATGAAAAAGACAGACATAAAGAAAGTAATGATGATGGGAAGAAAGGGCTGAATTCAAGAGGTACAAATAAGATCAGGACTTTATATCCATTTATTTTATTATTTCAATTTCTTTAACTGGTGACTTGGTAATCATTTAAAGGAGGGAGTGCAGGACAACAATTAGTGGAGAATAAGTCTCAGGTTTCTATTTTAGGTATTTATGGATACTAATGATGGTCACTTGAAAGATGAAATGCAGAAGGACAACAAAGGGGACTAGGGGCTCATTGTTGTTTTAACATTTTATTAATTTTTAACCAAAAATGTATGTATTTATCATATACAACATGTTTTCTATATATATACATTGTAGAATGGCTGAATCGAGCTGATTAACATGTACATGTAAAATTTATTCTAGCATTTTTCACCTAATACATAGGTGCCAGGTTGTACAACAGCTCTTAGTACTGGTTCAGAATTAGATTCTAGACTAACTACATGACCCTGAAGCTGGAGATTCACATCTAATAGGCATATAGAAATTTAGGTCTGAAGCTCAGAAGAAGCTGAAGACATAGATTATGAATTATCATTAGCCCAGAGAAACTGTTCTGGTGAAAACTCACATCTAGGAAGCAAGCTGACCAATAACTTAAAAAAAGAACTATTTTCAGTCTTGGGAGTGGGCCAGAGAAGTGAAATTAAAAAGTTAACACAGAATGCATGTCACAGAAACTAAGAAGACAGGTTTAAGAAAAGTATAGTGCTAAACAACAAATAGCCTATGGGTGCYTACTAAAGGAGAAAACTGATGGCACACAAGGAGCAAAAGAACATTCTTTTACTGAAAATCATCCACTGATTTTGGCAATGAGTGGCTCTTGGGGACCTTCACCTGAGCAGTTTCAGGGGAGAGATGGGGGTTTGTCTAAGAAAGAACTAAATAGAGGGGGGAAATTAACAGTGGCTGTAGTATGAGAGAAACTTCAAGTATTTTCTATGTGGAGGGAAGAATCAGGGACCATCACTTGTAGCAAACTCAGTGCCCAAGTAGATAACTAACCCATCACCATAGCCTCCCCAATCCCACATTCTCCTTTTACTCCCACAGCCATATCCTTAGCCTTGCCACTCTCCTGATCATTCCGCCCCCGCCCCCCAATCTGTCATTTCCTTTCTGGCTCTACTTTCTACTTTCTTTTGTGAACAATTTCAAATTGAGAACAAAATGAAGAATTAAAGGCTTGACAATCTAAAAAGAGCTGATATAAGGTCTGGGAGAAAGAAAGGGGAGGACTACTGAACTATGGTCAGAGAGTGGGGCACTGATGCAGGTTTCAGAGGAGAAAAGGTTCTAGATTATGAGGTTCCCATGGTATAGACACCAAAATTGCCAAGAATCGTGGGTGGACTTAAGGTAGAATTTAATTATTAAACTGCTTACCTTTGGTATAAGTTTTTTACAGCAGCYGGTCTAACTGGCAGCTGAAAAATGTGTTGCTCATCAAGAGGATTTTGTTTATAATATTTTATGCAGGATCTAAAAAAAACAAAACAAAAACCAAAAACTCCTTTTGGAAGACTCATTTGGAGATAAAACTTTCCTTAGATTATCAGAAATATTTTATTGAGTACCATCTACCACAAAAGTACAAAATGAACAGCACCTTCCCAACTAAGGTTTTATTTTTTTTAATTAAAAGGAAATCTCAACATCCCCCTACTTCCTTCTTTCTTTCTCTCTTTCTCTTTCTCTCTCTCTCTGTACTGGGTATTGGACCCAGGGGTGCTAGGTCAATCACTTTAAAAATAAATTAATAATAGACATATTTCTCATAAATATAAAAATATGCTTAATATGTTTACGTTGAGCCCAATAAAGGCTCAAATCAGGACAAAGAGGTATCAGAAACATAAAAACTAAGAGGTAGAAGAGAGACAACGACATGGCCTCCATGGTTTTCAGAGTCTRGAGTATATGAGTTAACTTGATTATACTACAGATTTTTAATGAAAACAATTCTTTTAGGTTCTATAAAAAGTAACAATTTCAAACCTTTCTCTTTAAAATTGAGGCAAATTCTAAATTTGGAAAAGGCCCAATGGTTTATTTACTCCTCATTTGAGGGCTCTAGTACATGTAAAACACCAGCAATACATGTGTACGGATTATTCCAAATTGTTTTTAGTTCTAACTGTTCAGAATCTCTAACTACAACAATCCAACTACAGAGGTCTGGTAATACTATCTGATTTCATCCAGTTGTCCATAGAGATGGCTGGTAATGATTGGTCTGACTCAGATTTATAGGGATGTAAAGAAGAGAAGAAACAATATTTATTAAGCACTTATTATGTGTCAGTGACCTTATACACATTATATAATTTAATCCTTACAGCACACTTAGGAGGATTATTTATTTATTTATTGACACTGAGGATTAACCCAGGAGTGCTTAACCACTGAGTCACATCCCCAGCCCTTTTTTATATTTTATTTAGAGACAGGGTCTTGTTGAGTTGCAAAGTGCCTCTCTAAATTGCTGAGGCTGGCTTTGAACTTGCAATCCTCCTGCCTCAGCCTCCTAAACTGCTGGGATTACAGGCGTGTGCCACCATGCCTGGCTTTACATAGGAAGTTTAATAATCTCTGATGGATCTAATGATGCTTTTCATAGAGGAGGAAACAAGATTAAGTGAGAGGAAACTTCCTAAGGAAGTTAAAAAGTGATAAAACCAAGTGTTAAGTCTGAGTATTCTGGATTTAAAACCCTTTCCTTCCTATGATAGTGACCTAGAACCATGCTAATCTAAAGACAGGGTGAACAAGTTCTATCCCGACTGGCAATAAAAACTACATATTTTGGCTGCAGTTTTTCAGAAAAGAACACCCACGTTCCTTCCTTTCTTTCTTTTCAGACTGGGGATCAAACTCAGGGCCTTGTACATGCTAGGCTACTGCTCTACCACTAAGCTACACCCCAGCCCTTTAGATTTTATTGAAATTTTATTTAGTGAAAAAGTTGGCCAGGCTTGTGATTCTCCTGCCTCAGCCTCCCAAATAGCTGGGATTCAGAAGAGAAGAYGTATCTATGAAGTAAACAATAAATACTTACTGTGTTAAAGAAAAGAGGAGCTCATGTTGAAGTTGAATGAAAAACATGCAACTAACTATTATTTCTAGAATATGGTGAAGTTTTTGAACACGATTAACCTGTTCTTGTATCTCCACTGATGAAGAAATGAAGTATTCCTGGAATGAAAAAAATATAAAAAAGGACTGAAACTGACCAAATTATGCTATATACATATATGATATCATGGTGAATTTCACCTTTATCTATACTTTAAGCTATATCTCCAGCCATTTTATTTTATTTTTTTAGTATTTTTTTTAGTTGTAGATGAAGACAATGTCTTTATTTACTTGTTTTTATGTGGTGCTGAGGATCRAATTCAGTGCCCCACACATGCAAAGCAAGTGTGTATCTACCACTGAGCCACAGCCACCGCCCCACCCCTTTTTGAGAGCAGGTCTCACTAATTTGCTGAGAGTGTTCTTAAACAAACGATYCGCCTGCTTCAGCCTCTCGAGTCACTGGTATTACAGGTGTGTACTACCATGCCCAGCTCCCACCTTTTTGTATATCTATAAAGCACCAGTTAAAAACAAAACTATAAATAAGTACAAGGAAGACCAATTAAGTAGAGGAAAGGGAATGGGGGAGGGAGGAGGGGAGGGAAAGAGGAAATGGAGTGGGGATACTGAAGTGGAGCAAATTATATTCCATGCATGTATAATTACATCAAAAATGAACACCAGTATTATGTATAATACACTAATAAAAAGAAAAAAGAAGGCTGAATGTTTTCTCTGATAACTGGATACTGATCCATATGGGGGGAGCAYGGGATGAATGGAGGAATTTTGATTGGGCAAAGGGGAGGGAGGGTGGGGGCCACGGGGGTAGGAAAGATGGTGGAATGAGATAGACATCATTACCCTAGGTATATGTCTGATTGCACAAATGGTGTGATTCCATGTACAACCAGAGAAGTGATAAATTGTGTTCCATTTGTATACTATGAATTGAAGTGCACTCTGTTGTCATGTATAACTAATTAGAGCAAATTTTTTTTAAAAAGTGAAAAAAAAAATAAAAACAAAAAAGAAAAAAGTATAAGCAAAATAGAGAGTTAAAGAATAAGCAGAATCTAGGGCTGGGGTTGTGGCTCAGCGGTAGAGTGCTTGCCTAGCGTGTGTGAAGTCCTGGGTTCGATCCTCACACCACATAAAAATAAATAAATAAAGGTACTGTGTCTAACTACAACTAAAAAATAAATATTAAAAAAAAAATAAGCAGAATCTGTTACGTGTGGTGGTGCATGCCTATAATCCTAGCAACTTGGGAGGCTGAGTAGGAGTATCGAAAATTTAAAGCCAGCCTCAGCAACTTAGCAAGGCCCTAAGCAACTTAGTGAGACTCTTCAAAATAAAAAGTAAAAGGGGCTGGAGATATGACTCAGTGGTTAAGTGCCCCTGGGTTTCATTCCCAGTACCCCTCCCCTCAAAAAAGAATAAGTAGAATATTTGGAAATATTCTCTCTATTCCTAACACAACTATAAATAAAGTCTTCACCAGGACTACTCTAAGCAAATGGTTACACATATTCTCTAGTGAAGGCAAATCACAGAACTGCTTCACCAAGGGGCCCAGTGGGTAGCCAATACCACCCACCAAGCTTCCCAGATGGAATGAATGGCAAATCCATACTTGCTAAATTGATGTATCCACCTCTAAAAATAGTAAACCTGAAGTATTAAATAATTAAGCATGTGTTTTCTTTTCTTGTTTTTTTTTTTTTTTTCTTTTTTGGTACTCCCAGGGATTTAACTTTAAGGCATTTAACCACCAACCTACATCCTCAGACTTTTATTTTTTTTAATTTTGAGGCAGGATCTTACTAAGATCCCTGTTTAGACCTTGTTTAGGGCCTTGTTAAGTTGTTAAGGCTGGCCTCAAATTGTGATCCTCTTGCCTCAGCCTCCCAAATCACTGAGATTATAGGTGTGCACCATCATGTCAAGCTAAGCAAGTGTTTAATAAGCTCCCACTTTCACTTGTTATTGATAAATTGGTACAATTTTCTTTTCCAAAAGAAATTCCAGCATCATAAAATGCTCAGATCTTCTAATCCCATTTCTGAGAAGACATCCAAAGGAAATGTAAATATGGTAGGCAGGATTTGACAATGGCCCCCAAGATTCAAGCCTCCAGGAGCACACACCTTGTATAATTCCTTTCCCTTGAGTGAGGTAAGAACCTGTAAATACCATGGAATTTTAATGCCATGATTAGGTCACTAACTGACTATGAGTTAATCAAAAAGGAGATTATCTCTTGGTYATTATAACGACCAGATTAGGGAAGCCCTTCAGAAGATAGTAAAGTCTTAGAGATGTTTTGCTCACTCTGAAGGAGCTGCCACACTGTGGAGAGGGCCATGTGGCAAAAGCTGAGAATAACCTCTAGGACCTGAGCCAAAAATTGAATACATGAAACTCACAATAGCTAAACAATGGAACCAACTAGATATTCTTCAACAGATGAATGGATAAAGAAAAAATATGGTATATATACACAATGGAATATTACTCAGCCTTAAAGAATGAAATTATGGCATTTGCTGATGAATGGATGAAACTGGAGACTATCATGATAAGTGAAATAAGCCAATCTCAGGAAATCAAAGGCCTGATGTTCTCTTTTGATATGCAGATGCTAATTCAAAATAAGGGGTGGAGGGCTAGGGAAGAATAGTTACTCTGGATTAGGTAGAGGGGAGTGAAGGGGCATAAGGGTAGGAAGGACAGTAGAATGAATTGGACATTATTCCCTATGCACATATATGACAACATGACTGGTGTGACTCTACATCATGTACAACCAGAAGAATGAGAAATTATACTCCATTTATGTCTGATGTGCCAAAATACATTCCATTGTCATGTAGAACTAATTAGAACAATAACAACAAGAAAAAAGAACATCATAGTTGGGCATGGTAGCACATGCTTATAATCCTTGTGGTCAGGTGGCTGAGGCAGGAGGATTACAAGTTTAAAGCCAGCCTCAACAATTAGCAAGGCCTAACAACTTAGTGAAAGCCTTTCTCAAAAAAAAAAAAAAAAGTGCTTAAGTGGTAACGGTGGGGAGGGGGAGGAATGTGTGTGTGTGTGTGTGTGTGTGTGAATTCTTTGCAAAATGATTCTTTAATATAAATGGGTTGATAAATATAAAATAAACCTTCTTTATAGGGATGAAGACATTCCCTAATAATTCTAGATAAAAGTTATAGCAGCACATTTWAAAAAATTTTTTATTTTTTAGTTGAACACAATATCATCTTTATTTTATTTATTTTTATGTGGTGCTAAGGATCAAATCCAGGGCCTCACACGTGCTAGGCAAATSCTCTAYCGCTGAACCACAACCCCAGCCCATATAGCAGCACATTTACTAGAGCAGGATGAAAACATATATCAGTATCATCAATTTGTAAAGTATGAGAAATGACATTGAGTAGACTAGTTTCTCATTTGTCTTACTAGACAGTAATAGTTAAGGTATTGACTGTCTTTTTCATGTTTCCTAGAGCACATTACAGACACTTACAGATAGAATGACTAAACAAAAGAAAAACCAATTTTAGAATTAAAAAAACTCACCAARTGATTCAAAGATGCAAGTTCCTGACCTATGAAGAAAAAACACATATATGCAAATCAGTTTTAGGAATTGCTATTACATGTTAAGGAACCCCAAGCAAAACTTTCCATAGTTCATACATGAAAGAGATCATCAAGCTAAATACTTCCTCATAAAAGACCAATTTTTCTCACATTTTACACCATAAATACATACTAATACTATTCTAAAACTGATCACASCTTGCTCCAATAAAAAATCACCAAGTATTGGGTATTAAAATAGCATCTCATAAAAGRCTTTTTAATTTACTAAACTTGCAGAATCTCAAATGTTTGAACTATAAGCAAACAAACAAAACTATAGTTATAGTTAATTTGATATCTTTTTGAATGGCTCACAGGAGAGAAATGCTTGTTTCACAGTGAAGGGGGGACGGGGGGGGGGAGACGATGACCAAGACTACAAATGACTAGAGGCAAGTAGAAAGATAAAATGTGAAAATATCTATGGATGACAACTGGACATGCCTTTTAATGTTTTGAGCTGGGAAAGGAACTTACCTACAAAAAAACTGATATAATCTTTTTTTAGTTTGTCCAAGCCAATTTCCAAAAGCATTTGAAGTGGAATAGTCCCACTGAGAGAAACTGTGTCCATGGTTCCATGATAAGACTGATGAATGAGCTTACTTAGTAGACTGTTACTCCCACTATGGAGCTAGAAATCAAGAAATTTTTATAAAACCATCCAAATATGCAAAAGAGAAGTAAACTGCATAAGTTAAAAATTATAAGCTTTCATTCTTCATCTCCAGACAYTACAAATTGTTTGAATATGTCAGTTTCTAAACTGTCTTTTCTACCTTAATTGTTGAAAAGTTCAAAGCCACTCAGAAGAGTTTAAACTTACCACCCCTAAGTGATAAGCTTAAGCTGTGGGAAAACTCTATTCCTCAATAGCCTGTGCATATATCATAAGGAATTCCTTTATGGCTATGATATCCAATATAACTTGATAATTACCAATTAAAAAGAACTGTGAAATTAAAGATTTAATGTGTTCCAAGTGCTATATAATTCATTTTAAACATATATAAAATATTTGTCATTTTCCCACTAGTTTCTATTTATCTCTATTTTAACTTTTATCACAATCTTTTTGCATTTTCTTTTTTTAAAGTAGTTTCACATTTTGCACTTACTGTATACAAAAGAATTTTACTTGTAAACATCTTAAAAACACAGAAATTCTTTTTTTTTCTTTTTAGAGAGAGAGAGAATTTTTAAATATTTATTATTTAGTTTTCGGCAGACACAACATCTTTGTATGTGATGCTTAGGATCGAACCCGGGCCGCACGCATGCCAGGCGAGCGTGCTACCGCTTGAGCCACATCCCAAGCCCACACAGAAATTCTTAACAGAAAATTATAAATAGTCAAAACTAAAATGCCTACAATCACTAATGCCCAATTAAGCAGAGCCTTTGCTCTGAAGTGTACCTCTGTTCAGAACTAAGAAAGCCTTTTTTCTTTTTGGTGGTGGTGGCAGGGTGTGCTAGGGATTAACCCAGGGCTTCACACATCTATGAAAGTTTTTAAACAGTTTTTAAACTTTCATAGTTGTGAATTGACAGCCAAGTTATTTAAGATTCCTATTAAAGAAGGAATTTTTGTTTGTTTCCAACTTTTAGCTTTTCCTTCATTGTAAAAATAGTGCAATTTCAGTATGGAAAATTTGTAAAGTACAGAAACATATAATGTAGTTGGAAAAAGTCACTTGTAACCTTTTCACCAGAGTTRACTGTTATTAATATTTTAGCATACTTGTTTTTAGATTTTTCTCTCCAAAATTTACATTTTTAAAAATATTTTTTTTAACAACTAATAAAAAAATTAGTTTTTAGGACACAATGCCTTTATTTAATTTATTTATTCTATGTGGTGCTAAGGATCGAACCCAGGGCCTTGCACATGCTAGACGAGCACTCTACTGCTGAGCTACAACCCCAGCCCCCAAATTTACATTTTTATACAACTGTTTATACTCCTTTTTTTATTTTTTACTGAACATTATAAGCATCTTTCCACATCATTTGTCAGCAACACTTTTTAGCAACTATGATACATGCTATTATGTGGCTGTATCATTATGTACTTGCCATTCCTTTAACAAGGGGAATTTAGTTGTTTATAATCTTTTGCTACTATAAATGAAACTATAATGACTATTCTGATATATGCAATCTTGACATATATTTTTGTTTATGAGTTTAGGGTGGATTCTGTCCATAGAATTAATAGTTCAAAGGTCATGCTACACTTCGCAGATATCAATACATCTTCAAAATTACTTTTAAAAAAAAGAGTATCCCAGGAGCTGGGGTTGTAGCTCAGTGGTAGAACTCTTGCCTTGCATGTATGAGACACTGGGTTCGATCCTCAGCACYACATAAAAATAAATAAGTAAAATAAAGACATTGTGTCCATCTACAAATAAAAATATATTAAAAAAAAAGTTTTTATTTTCATCATTGGTATATGGAAATACTCAGACACAGAATAGTTAACAATGACAATATTAGTAGCTGCAGTGCCTGTGTCCTTACCCATCATACTATGCCACTGAGAACACATTCTAGCACTATTCAACCTACCCATGGCTGTATATCACCACGTTGTAGACTCTGGATGATCAATGTGAAACACTTCACCAAGTCTTGATATGAAACCACACCTTCAAAACCAAGTCAGACTAACATTATTTTCATATTTCTATAAATCAAAAATGTCATTAAACTTAAGAATACACAAATGAATTAGAAGAATCTGTACTATATAGATGGGGAAAAGGAAAAAAATTTACAGAAAAAAGACTTAATGCATTTTTTTAAATGTTTTTTTTTTTTTTT